ATATCAAAAGAGATACATACTGTTCTTGATTTGGGGCAATGAGGAAAATCAGCTAAATGTTTAAAGGGGCATTCCGCTTTTCATGTAGATCAAAATTTTTACTATACACCTATATCTAGAGGAATGTGTCCAGTAACATATCTGAAGTTTTAGCTAAAAAAATCAAACCGTTAATTTTTGCAACGGCAAAATTTTTAATAAGATTACGTTGGTAAAATGCTTTTTGGAAACTATTGGAAAACTAATGTACAGATTTAAGTAAAATAGATAATTTTAATCAAACCTTTGAAAACAAATCCAGTTTGATCAAGAAGATACTTAGATATAAATAGCATACTTTAGAAATATTTTTAAGTCTAATTTACGACGAATATGAATTTTTTTATTGAACAAAAAGTGGAATGTCCCTTTAAGATTATCAGACTGATATTTCAGTTCAGCTTGGTTCTGCAAAGAAGTTGATCATTGTTATCTGAAAGGCATTGTTTTAGAGCTAAATATAATAATTATTGACTATGGTGTCTGAATATCTAGTTGCTGCATTTGCAGTTATAGGAATGGAGGTTTTCTTGTGTATTAGGGACACTATAATCAATCAAACTGCACCTACTAAAACTAAGGGTTTTATGATGTCACTATCGCAAATAGTTTTAATTAGAATTGCAAGAACCACAGATGTCTCGTTGAAAATTGCAATGGTGCAAAATGATGCATTCAGTGTCTTCAATAGAACTCATTACAATCCCTTTACCATAGGTTATTTGATATAAACAGTGTATAGCAATATCAACATTTCAGGGAAGTTTCTCCGAATCTATATAATATTGATTTTCTAAGAACAATTATAGTGTATAACTTCTGTAATTTAAGTGCCAAACTTCAATTTAACTTCCTACTGAACACATGTTAATGAAAGGAATAAAATTTGACTCATTTTCATCGAAAACGATGACTTATTTTGAGTCTATACAGCTAGCTAGATCGTGAGCTAGAAAATTAATAGACCAATCAGATGATCTGAACCTCTCATTATCTAAGTTATTCCTCAAAACGTTTCTGGCACTAGCAACAAAATTTCCTGTGCAAACAATCTGAACTGCAAAAAACAACCAAAATCCAAAACAACAGTTTCGCAATACATTCAAACTAATGAACTTCTCATATGAGGAAGTATATCAATCATAAATGAATGAAGTATTTCATAATGGAAAGTGATATCAGGTGTCTAAAAAATAAGCATACCCTGTAATTACAGAAAACATGTATGCACAATACATATGGATATTGTTATAATACTTAGTAAGCATGTGATGTATATGATATATAAAGCTGAAAGTAATAATATGATAATTTATCACGTTTATATCCTGTACAAACAACAAAAACATACCAGAAAGTATTGTATCCTGTTCCACCCTGTCAAATACTAAAGTCCAAACAACTCATTACACATTTGTAATATTTACTATTATAATAAACTTGTAACAGTACATAAATTTAGATGTATAAAATCATTTTATAATCGGTAGTGATTTTATCAATATAATTATAATTAAATTACTATTTCGTTTCGTCCATAGTAATCTAAAAAGATATATATCAATACTGTGTATCGTTGACGTTCATTTCAACCAATCATGGCGTGACAAGCAGAATTGTGGGATATTGAAACCCAAAGTAGAGGGATGGGAACAATCAGTTGTGAGTCTGCAGATACTCGTTTGAAAAAGTGCTTCTGAGAATGGCTGCCTGATTGGTTGCTATAAATAGCTCATAGCATCACCCTTACAGGATATTTGTATATGATTACTGTAGAGTAAAAAAAAAATCATGAAACGAAGTTGTGATTTAATTTAAATTAGATTGTGATTTTATTAGGTTTTCTACCATTGTTACATTTAATTGAAAAGTTCATATAACATTAGATGGAAAAAGTTCATTTAACATATAATTGAAAAAAATCATTTAATATCTAACTGAAAAAGTTCATTTAACATTTAATTGAAAAAGTTCATTTAACATTTAATTGAAAAAGTTCATTTAACATTTAATTGAAAAAGTTCATTTAACATTTAATTGAAAAAGTTCATTTAACATTGAAAAAGTTCATTTAACATAAACATGTAATTGAAAAAGTTCATTTAACATTTCATTGAAAAAGTTTATTTAACAATTCATTGAAAAAGTTCATTTAACATTTCATTGAAAAAGTTCATTTAACAATCAATTGAAAAAGTTTATTTAACAATTCATTGAAAAAGTTCATTTAACATTTATTTGAAAAAGTTCATTTGACATTTAATTGAAAAAGATCATTTAACAATTAATTGAAAAAGTTCATTTAACATTTAATTGACTTCTGTTTAGAATAAAAAATCCTTTACAGATATTTTAAAATTTGATTCCAAAATAGTTCTATAGGCATGCGAGTAAAGTTATGCCTAGTTCACACCAACGGCGAATGCTGCGCTTTAAATCGGCGAGCAAAGCGCCATCATTTTTTGTTTACTTTTCCAAAAATATCACGATCTCCTAAGTAATGTTACGCTCTGATAAGCTCTGATACGAATTGGTTACGCATTGGGGACGAATTATTTCCCGATTTGATCAGGCCTTGTCACGCTTTAAATCACGCTTGGATAAGCTTTATTAAGCTTTGATGCGTTATGACGCTTTAAATCACGCTCTGATACGATTATCAAGCTCTGTTGTGCATTGTTAAGCTCTGTTACGCAATGGAAATTTTCGAAATGGCCGATTTCATGCCGCTTTTGATCAAGTGGTAACAGGCCGTGAAGACTGGGGTCCCCGCTTTGAATAAAGCTCTGTTAAGCTTTCCTACGCTTTGAGTCAAGCTTTGCTGAACTTTGTTACGCTTTGTTAAGCTTTGATACGTTCTCGGTGCTTTAATCAATTCGTGACAGAGCGCCCAAAATTTTTAAACAGTTCAAAATTTTTTGGCGCTCTTGCCAAATATCCAGCTTTGCTCAAAGCTTTCCAACGATCTATTACGACCCTGGCGCTTTAGTCGAGCTTTGTTACGCTTTGGTACCGCTTTGTACGCCGCTTTAAAGCGCGATCAAAGCGCCGTTGGTGTGAACTGAGCATTAGCCAACTCACTGACCAGCAGAAATAAATTTAGGACTAAGATATTCTTCAGAATGAAGACTCAACTTGTTTCTAATTGACAAGAGCTCATCTCATTTTGCTGTTAAAGAAAATCTTGGGGGTAAACTTTGAAATATTCTGCATCTATGAAATTGTAACAACCAACAAAATGAACTCCAATTCATTCGAATCGAATCTGATTCAAAGCAAAGAGTAACTTTTCTGGTTATGACTACCAATGACATGATATTAAATAATGCAAAATTGATGCCACTTACCACCAAAACATTATCAAACAATATGATACCTCATATAATTGTCAATTGGACCTAGTGCCTACGTTACATATAGTGAAATGGGGTAATGGGATCAAATCTAACACTTTATCTTCAAAGTTTCACTCTCTATTAATTTACAGTGAAAAAAATGTTGATTTCATTCCTTCCCTACTTTTTATAGAATGAAAGGTATCGTCAAATATCGATACATGACTTCACAATACAATATTCATATTGTGGCATGTTGTGGCATGTTGTTTCATGATACATCGATTCACCGATATATCGTGTCAGCACTTATTGGACCAATAGCTTTCTCTCTGACTACAGACAAACCAGATGTTGGATTGCTATTCTGAAAAGTGATCAAATTCAGATAGAAGAATTTGACCTCATACTAAAAGATATCAGATAAACTTCATTTATTAACATAGTTTTGGAATTTTAGTTTCTTGAGCAAATTTTCCTTATTTTAAACCATAAAAATTTATAAACTAGTAAGGTAAATGACCTGATAGTGATAAAGTTATCACAAAATCACAGTCAGTTAAAACTACCCCTTATCTAAAAACAATACAGGGACAAAGTTCACAAATATATTAGTTCAGCCAGTATTTTTTTCCTGTTTCACATAACAATTGATAACCTTAAATGTTTGAGTTGATAGGGATACATATTCATACATACAGGCACTCAACTGTGTCCCAAAACAGGTACTGTCATCACCATGCAGTGTGCAATGAAGAAAATTTTCCTTATTTCTTAATCTCTAAGGATCTTAAACATGAAGCTGGTAGCACACAAAGATATGTTCCATATGAAAAACTTGATACCTTTTCTTTTTGCGTCCTACTTCTAAGTTTGTGACTGAGCTAATGAAGATTTATAACAGCGCAATGCAGTTTGCAATGAGGAAAATTGTATTATTTCCAACTTCCAATTGTCAAATGGTCTTGAACAGGAATAGCTGGTAGCATAAAAGTCCTTGATTTATTGTCCCATTTCCCATTTGAATTGCTAAGCATATTTTTATTGTCAGTCTCTCACTTGCAAAAGAATTCAAGATTGAAAATCCAAACTAGTATCATCACAACTTATACTTAGATTTAACCTTGACCATCAAATTAAAGATTTGGCTGACACAGAAAAACTGTAAAAAATATGGTAGAAAGCTCTGATTGGCTGTATTATCTGGCGTACAATCAAATCAAATTCCTGCATATATAAACTTAGAAGAATAGACGCTATTGTAGTCAAGATATAAGTCTGAATAGCTTGACATTGTGAAAATGCATCACAACCTATGCCGAGATTTAACCTTGGCTTTCATGTTAGCAAGCATGACATTGAGTCATATTCCCTCACCAAGCATAAGACAATTTTGTCAGTGTCTTTGTGTAATAAAGACATATAAAGAATAAATGATGTTATCAGTAAGTACAACAAGTGTGAATATAAAGGCAAAGCAAGCATTATAAACAAATCATTATCAGATCAAACAATATCAAATGACCTATATATACAATGATATTGTGGACACATTGACTTATTGATAGCAGGACACTTGTTTTAGATTATAATACAGTCAAATGATTGAACATATATCCTGTTAGAACTAAATGAAGAGGGCTTGACTTCCTCATTGTGTCAAATAACTCAATTTTAACTATCAAAGTTTGGTCATTAGTCTAGTTAATGGTGATTTAACTGGAGCAAGGATAATTTGGGAATCATAATTTCTGTTTAAGAATATTTTTTTTTAATTTATCGAATAATGTTAATGTGATGTGTCACTAAGGTATGTGGTGAATTGTTTTGTTTTGTTTTGAGTACAATTCATATGTGGCTTTTTGTCTGTAGACAATCTTTCCAAATTTCAAGGTTTCTGCATGGCCAAGATTCCTCAGTGATGACATATTCTCTGGAGCAATGATAATTTTTTGAATTATAATTTTTGTTCAGGAATATTTTTTTTTTATCGAATTATGGTGATGTGATGTGTTACTAAGGTATTTGGTGATTTGTATTGATTTATTTCAAACAACAATTCTTTGCCGCTTTTGGTTTACACTTTTTACTTCAAGGTTTCTGGATTGGAATTTTTGGTTGTAACATTGTTGTTAAGTAATGTTACGAAAGCACAGGCACAGAAATGCAGGATTAACCGGTGAATCAGTTATCTCTTGCAAGGATAATTTTAGAAAATTATTTGACATAATTGAAAAATGTCTCTTCTGCTAAAGAATAATTGTCTCTAAGGTCATTACTAATGCTTTGAATGACAAGGCATATTCACTGTGTTTATCAACTTTTTATGGTTTTATTCACTTTTGGCACTAATTTGATTTCCTGCAAGATGTATATTATGGTTTCCAAAAAAATGTGACAATATTATAAGGTAGATGTTGCATTCAAACCAAATCGTTTATTTGATGGTTATGTTTTTCTGGAACTACACAGAACCACAGACACTGGACAGAATATTGCAAATAAGAGCTACAAGGATAGGCAAGGAAACCTTTTTCAAACCCTTTAAATCATAAGTAGCCAGGATATAAACCTATACATGTATAGTGTTAAACAACCTCACATCTAATAAACTATGTACAATAGTTGACATATAAATACAATAGAGGTCTACTTTGCTAGTTGACTCACTATGAATAGTCAAATTTTAATAGTAATTCATATTCTGTCAGTATAGTATGTCAGTGTATAGCTCACTACTGTCACATTCTTTATTTTGGCCACCATTTTGTTATCACCTTTCAAGAATTAGGATGCTATAACAATATAGACAACATCAAAATATATGTAATGTGAAATATAACTTTTCTTCATTTGAAGATAAAACTTTATTTGTAAGTTATATTTTATAATAAATTTCATTATCTTTATATTTGTTCATAAATAATTCTTCATCATAAATATTCAACTTTGGGGAATAAACTATATTGATCTGCACAGTTTATAGCCTTAATATTGCCATAAATTTCACTTTTGAAATACTGGTATAACTTAACTTTATGTGAAGATATAACTTTATTTGTAAGTTATATTTTTAATATATTTCATTATCTTTATATTTGCTCATAAAATTCATTTCATTATTGTATTGGCTAGTAAATAACTCCTAATCATAAATATCCAATTTTTTTAGGTAGTTTGTTCTGAACATATTGTCCTAAATCTGTGTAAATATCAACTTTTTTTTTAGTTAAAACTTATATTTATGAGGATATCAATCATTTTTTATGTTATATTGTCATCAATTTCATTATCAAATACTTAGTTTGCTTTTCAGCATCTTTATATTGTTTCCTTCTTTATCTTAAAAAATTTTCTGTTTTCTACCAAATGCCAAAAATATCTTGTAGCTTTTGCATCAACTCTTCTGTTTATGAGGATACAAGTTATATTTTGATAAATTTGACCATCTTTATGTTTCTTATCAACAAATCTAAATCCTTCTACTTACTGACATAAACCTACTACTACTTATGTTTATATTTCTTATAAGACAAGAAACATATAACTTTAACAATACACAGATATAAGTTTATATAAGTTATATTAGGTCAATGATCAATTTTATCATCTTCATATTATATTGAAATAATTCTACATACATATTCAACTTTTGTATAAATCTAAAATACCGGTACCATTTAACATTCTAATGAAAACAAATTATTTGAGTTTCTTTATACAGAATTGCCTGTATTTACTAGCGTACAATCAATTCAAATCACTGTATTTACAAAAATCAATATACAAAAATATTGTCTTATGATGTCAAGTTATTAGACAGAGTTCATAATACCTTGACATTGTGAATATAGACTAGATTTGCTTGACTCAACCATTGTTGAATACTTTTATTCATATGTCAAATATATCATATTTCTATCTTGCAGTTTGATGAGAGATTAAGGTTAACAAGAATAAGCAGAAGCAGACAAAATGACATCAAGTAACGCAGCTGGTAGGCCTCCTATACAGAAAAAATTAGTAATAGTTGGAGATGGTGCCTGCGGTAAAACATGTCTACTTATAGTATTTAGTAAAAATGAATTCCCTGAAGTCCATGTACCAACAGTATTTGAAAATTATGTAGCTGATATTTATGTAGATAATCAACATGTAAGTAGAGCAATATCAAATAGAGATATCATTCTCAGAATATTCCAAAATTTAAGCAGCTTGTACTTTAGAATGGAAGTGATACAATATTTTTGCTTTTTGGCTGATAAAAACTCAATTAGGGCTGTTTAAAGAAATCTTATGAATTCGATCGGAATCCTACGACTAGTTTACTGATTATTCAAAACGATATCAGGAATGATCATAACTTTTTGCACCATTCCTATTACACATACAACATAGCTTTGGTCCCTATTAATCAAGAATATGTCACTATCGCAATTACTTTTTTTGTGATAATGATGTCAAAAACCGGTTAGGTTTTATTTTCAATGATACCATACCAGAGCACCAATGGTCTCCCCTGAGTTGTAACTTAGACTACCGGTGACTACATGATCGATCTTGATTGGAGTATTTTGTCGTTGACTAAAGTCTTGTCAAGAGTTTCACCGACACACGAGGAGACAAAAAACTTGATTTCTACCATGTCGGTAGCCAACTGCAGAGCATTCACTTGAAGGGAAAATGAATCTGATTGGATAATAACGGTCTATCTTGCAGACGATAAAACTATCAGAAACAATATTCAAACTTGTTTGATCTTATAGATCCTGTCGACCATCTTGTCGTGGAAGTATACATGGCCACACACAAGATTTTACTAAAATCTTTGACCAATACTGTTTGTATTCCCTGCACCTTTAAATGTTGCCTTTGAGTTCTGAAAAGAGCAAGTGAAGGTATCATGCATGAGCAAGACATTCCTCAACAATGTCTACCATATGTAGATACAATACTTTCACACAGAGAGCTACAATACTTAAACATTGTCGTACACCTTATTTCTTTTTTTTTAGGTTGAATTAGCATTATGGGATACAGCCGGTCAAGAAGAATATGACAGACTACGACCTTTATCTTACTCCAATAATAACGTTATACTATTGTGTTTTAGTATTGATAATCCAGACAGTTTCCAAAATGTTTCTGAAAAATGGAAGCCTGAAGTTGCTCATTACATGCCCCGTGTGCCTATAATACTTGTTGCCACCAAAAAAGATTTACGCGAAGATCGTAGTGTTATTAGAAGTTTAGCACAAACAGATCAAAAGCCAATCAGCCAACAAGATGGCTTAGCGATGAAGGATAAAATTAGTGCTTATGCTTACTTAGAGTGTTCCTCAAAAACAAGAGATGGCGTGAAAGAAGTATTTGAAACAGCAACCAGAGCAGCACTTCAAACAAAAAGACAAAAAAAAAAACCCATATGTGTTGTTTTGTAAAAATGTGCACCAGTAACTTTATGACATTGTTTATTTTAATGTATTCTATTTAAGAGATGAAACTTTCAGAATAGAATTCCGTTTTCAAGGTGCTTTGTTTTTTTATTTATATGTAAATTCAGTCGACATTTTACTTTTATATTTTGTCATCATCATTCTTTTCTGTCATGGAGGCTAAATGGACAAGTTCATAAAAGTTTTCATTCTTTTCAGTAGAAAACATTCTAAATCTAAAGGACTTTAAAGGTTAGCGCACACGAGAGCTTCCAGCTGAATAATTTCATTCGTGTCTCCCAGCTCAGCTCACAGCTTTCGTCGGTTTCCCCCGCACACGCTAAGCTTAGAGCTTTCGTAAACGGGTCGTCGAGTCATAGACGTCTAAAAATAACTAGATCACGTGACATTCTCACGTGACTTAAACAAAATGTCAGACGTCGAAAACCCTTCGAATGATTCAGAATATGAAAAAATTTTACTTCTTGTTTTGTTGTTGCGTCGTCGCCGACGAAGGATACTTGCAAGCTCTCGTAAGCTATGGATACGCCAATGGATTCGCCGATGGATTCAAAGACGCCAAGATCAACTTGTCTTCGATTATTGCCTAGATACAAACTCGCATTCACCAATGGGCACAACCATTTTTGTTTGATCACGTGCTAGCGCATGCGCCCCAGTTCAAAGTTGAAAGCTAAGAGCTTTCGAGTGCGCACACGGTAAGGTATTTTTCATTTCGAGGAAAAAATTATCAAACACGACAGATAATTTCCTTAACGCTTCGAATGAAAAAAACCTTACGTAAACTCTGAGAGGCAGGAATGAAATTTTGCTCAGCTGGGAGCTCTCGTGTGCGCTAGCCTTTAAGGTGTGTTTAATGCTGACAATAAAATGTATGTAATTATTGTTGTACATATATAATTTGGATATCTTCAAATGGTTAACTTAAAAACAAATGAATTTTATTTATAAAATGTAATTTATTTCACCATCTTTTATGACAATTTAAGAATAATCACTCATAAAAAATTATGTTTTTTTGGAGTTTCAGTATTTTCAATTGGTCATTTGTCTACCTACAATGTCCATTAAGGGTGAGCATTTCATGAAAAGCAAATTGAAATGTTCAACTGAAAACAATTTTAACATAGTATAAATTCATTATGCATCATTTTAACCATTCAACCAAAACTGATTTAATAAGAATAATTGCATGTTTTTTTACCATTCTATACTTTGAAAATAAATTTTATCAAAATCTCAATGCATTCTTGTAGTATAAATATATATAGATACCAGTGAGAAATAGGAACTTGTACGCTACTCACATAGCCTAATTATAACATTTGATGCCCCCATGGTAGCTATTTCAAAACTATTCAAACAAATATTACTGGGGAATACTAAAAACTATCTGACCACATTGTATAAGCTTACAGAATCACATTTCTACACAGGAGCCGCAGTGGCTAGCGCTTGCTAACCCGAAGGACTAGGATTCAGTCCCAGCATGGGTTGAGATAATACCTTTGGATTTTTCAACCTGGTTTCCCCTCTGTCAGTGATGCATAAAGAGCCGCTTACATGAAAAAAGTGTCTAATCGCTCGATTAGGACAATAAACCAAGACCCTACTTACATTGCTGTCCTTGCAATACTATCCTTATTGTACACTATAGCATTGCTCTTCTTCTCATCAGCCCATCACTGGCAATAGGTTCAGAAAAATTTATATCTATTGCCCATTTGGTCAAAATTGTGATGCAGTTGCAGAGTATGCTAAGTTAACACGTTAACAACCTAGCTATGCCCATTCCACAACTGTCCTAATAATTTTCACATCCCATGAATGAAGCCCTGAGGTGATGTATTAGTAGGATTATTCATACTGAATTTTATTCCATTGTTGTCTGAAGCAATAAAAATACAGAGTTGCTTCCCTTCAATCCGAAATTATATATGGCTTGGGACTAATTTATATACATTTAATCATTTAATGGGCACTACATATGATAAGGAAATTTAAATTCCTACCTTTCATTTCATTCTCGAAAGTCAGTAGCTCTAAATCTTCTGGTTAAATCTACATCCTTATTCTTCAAACTTACAGTCACATATTCTCTGACATAGTATTCTGTTCCATTCGAGCTAGCTAACAGATAGTCAGCATATTAACGAGTTATAAACCAGACAATGACAACTCTTGTCAAAGCCATTATGCTCAAGAAATCGGTGTATCGGGCATAATATTACAAATACAAGAAGCAAAAAAAATTATAAACAATAGACTTATTTATTGAAGACCATCACAAATATTTCAAAAATGATATATTTTCATTAATTTCAGTTATAATTAATGAGGTTGTGTGTTCTTGGAAAGTGTTGGCTACTTTGTGATAAATTCTGACGACCCTTGAAGCTCTCCTTTAATGAAAACACTTCCGGTACTATGGTAAACAAACCAAGAGGGTGCGTTGTAATTTATGATTTTCGCATATTTCCCCAGTTTTCTCTAAGAAGGCAGAAGGTTAAGCCCTGCATCATTTGAATATTCCAAGTATAGGTTTCATTTATTAAATGAATTGCACTCAATCATCAAGGCCTCAGTCAGATGGAAAAAAGTGGCATAATAATATTCAATTATGTATCTAAATAGAAATATTGTCAAGAGGCGTTTTTGTGGGCCGATTCGATTAGCTATTTTGTGCATTTGTGAGCCCGAAAATGTAGGCTAATCGGTACATTTGTGAGAAAGTTTACCTAACCTGATTAAGCTAATCGTCCGAGAAGGTGGTTAGGCGATTTTTTTTAAAGATGGCGGCATGTGGAAGTTCGTCAATGATAATAATAATAATAAAAATAGATAACTTTCCTTTGTTGTCAGCAGAGTCAGCCATATTGCCCAATCGGCGAAATCAAATTTCGCATTTCCACTGCTAATCTAATCAAAATTGCACCAAAACGTACTAGCAAATCGAAACCAAATCAATTCGGCCGTCAAAAACGCCTAAGACATAGGGTGAAAGTTTAGGCTTGTCATAGTTATATGGGCCCATCACTTTTTTTTATCTATAAGGCCCATAGGTCATCTTAAAAAGTATAATAGGCCCTATATTAGGCATATAATGGTAAGTAGAGAGATATTTCAGTTTTAGTTTTTTTTTATATAGGTGGGAAATATGTTCATTACAACAGAAAGGTTGAGTCATGGTTTAATTTGGAAAAGGATGTTTTAAACTCAAAAAGGCAGCTAAAATGTCGGATACAGATGTCTCAAACACAACAATGTCTTATGAAATTGGCATTGAAAAAAAGATTCAAAATTTTGTAGAGACTAAAACTGGTGAAATTGTGAATACAGACTTCTCTGATAACAATACCATAAAAATTGTTCCAAAGGCAAAGCATGGTTCTGTGGCATTAGGAATTCTGTGGATGAAAGTCTTACAGTACCCCAAAAATTTTCCTGTCTCAAAATATCAATATAAAAGATTTGGGGGTGCCAACAGTACTTATAACATTAAACTGAAACTTCCCGAAGTTGCAATAGAAGTGAACCTTAAGATAGGCTCAGTGCAGATAAAAGGAAGTTTTGTTATTGAATGGTTTACAAGATACTTTCAAGAAATTTTGGATATTTATGATGGAGTTATTTCCCACCCTAAACAACAGTCTCAGATCTATTCTGAAGATGATATGAAAAAAATTAAAGATGATATTCAGAGGAGGAAAGATGCAGGTAAATATAACAAAAAAAACACATAAGCAGCTGAAGTGCATGACAGATGGGTAAATCAGCAATATACAGAAACAGAAAGCTTATTGCAAACCATTGTGTTTGATATCTTTTCTCATAAATCTAGTCGTACCAGTTTTAAATGTGTAGGATTATCTGTGAAAGATCAATGTCAAGAGGTTTTGCCATGTACGAGCTCGTTATCAAGAGATGTTAATTCTCAATTATTACTTACCCTATTGGATAATGCATGATAAAGGTTATATATTTGCTTGTGAGATGTTGATAAGGTCTTGGAAAGGTAGTGGTCCAAACTTCCATGTTACATTTCTGTAGAATCGCATGAGGTTCTGACTCTGGTTCTGGCATTAGCTAAAATTAAGATTTGTCATCTTGTAAAGCACATTATTAGACTACTATAAATCCCCTAAATTTGCTATATTCTTATTCTTCTTTTCAGGTTATGACTGGCCAGATGTTGCTTTAAAAGATGATGTTATTGTCAATGATGTACAAGACAGCATTGGGGTACAAACCAAGATAAATAATGTGGATGTTGACACTCCTGTCTCTGGTATAAAAGACTCACAACTGGTAATTTTTTCCAAATTAAACATTTTACCTCAATTATAATACATTCAATTCTATTGTGATATATCGTGCTTATCAGGGATTATGAGCCCATGCACTACAAGTCTGGAATGTTTAAGTTGCCGTCATAGAGAGACCACATGAAATAATGGAACACAATTTTCAACTGATAATGACAATAAAAATTGTTGAAATGTTGTGCGCAATAAAACTCAGGAGTAGTATATACCATATAATTGTGTTATTTGATTTGATAAGTTACATTATATATAATGTAAGTAATTAATTTCTGATTTTTCAGATGTCTCATGAAGAGATTGATAAAGAAACTGCCAGTTTAACACCAGGCTCAATCATTGAAGGCCCAAAACTCTACAAAATCTGGAGATCTTTACTGCATGTATGGTGTTCTAATGAACATTCCACCATATATATAGCAACACCAAGAATAGATGCTACTAGACTTATTGAAATCTGCTACTTTTGTCTCAATCACCGGCATACAATGAAAATAGGCGCCATCTGCATTCCTATGCGATTTGATGGAATATCATTAGCAGAAATTAAAAGTGCAGCTTTGAAAAAATTCACTCCCCAAGAGCAGACTTATATTGAATACAGAATTTTTACGCAATTTCTTTATCCTTTGCAAAATTTTGAAGCCAAGTTTTTAGCATCTTTAAATGATGATGGCATTGTGGATATTTTGGTAACAAGTGGAGATTTCAATAAGAGTGGTTTCAGCTCTCATAATAAAAATATGGTGGTGTTTAATTCTGTACGAGAGGAAGAATTCAAAACTAAATATTTGAATCCCATTATGGATTATTAAAGCAGAGTTATCCTTAGTATTAACATGTTTCTTTAAAGGGACAGTTGCACCATTTGCATTTGCAGGGTTGATTTGATTCTTGAATTCAACTCTTCAGAAGTACTAGAAATATTAGAAAATCGCATAATTCCTTCAAAAATACTTCAAACAAGGAATTATACTGACTATTTGTATATATGTCTTTGAAATATATCACAGAGTATCTTATAATTACGAGTCCTCATTTTAACTTTCAAACGCAGATAAGAAGGCTCAAATTTCGACGGTGAGCTGTAAACACTATTACTGATTGGCTTAGTGCAAAAATTCCTGTTTCTGAGACTAAAGTATGATTGGTCGAATGAAATGGTGCCTCCGTCCCTTTAATGTTATACATAAGGAGTGTAGGAGTTGTCAGAATTAGATCTTTGCTATCATTTATCATGACCCAAATATTCTACTTATCTATAGTACTAAATGCACACATGAAACAACATGTGAAATCTTGATAATCAAGTCAATAGTAGACCCTACAGATACACAATAATAATGATCATTTGATTTATATGGCACTATTAAGATTAGTTATATTATATATTCATGTAGGACTATAGTCATTTATTATCTTATTTATTTTAAAAAAATGATCCAAATGAAGTCCCTGCCTATGAATTTTAATCATTTTTTTTTTTTTGATTATTCATGTCTTGAAGACCAAATATTGTTTTATATACAGTTTATATTACTATACAGTACCGTACCGTACAGTTTTGAATATTATGCATTTACTGTTTGTTTTGTTTGATGATTTGCTGTGATGATAAAGCATTTATATGATACTTTAAAGTCTTTTTATTTTGTATTTTGTGATCTAACAGGAACTGTAGGACTCTTTGGGCCTACTTACTGCTGTTCAACTGTGATAATTATTGAAATCTTGTGAATGCCATAAATCACTTGATTAATCACTTGATAAACAATATTACCAAGAAATCTATGACAATATCTTGCACCAAAATAATCTAAAGAAATCGGAATTCAAGATATAACATGCATCATGCATATGAATACTCTTTCTTATGAATTGTCTATTTTATATTCCCAAGTAGGAACCTCAAACTTTATTGAAAAATGATAAGGGTCATTCTGGTTCCCTTCAAGTAGGCCTAGAATAGAATAGAATAGAATAGAATAGAATAGAATACAATACAATACAATACAATATAATACAATACAATACAATACAATACAATACAATACAATACAATACAATACAATACAATACAATACAATACAATACTCCAAAATCAAAATCAAAATCATATCAAATCAAATCAAATCAGATCAAATCAAATCTTTATGTCACTTTTTTACAAAGTTCACAATTTTCAATAAAGCCTTGGTACTAAAAGTTATGGGATCTAAATCTGAGAGGTTTGCAAACACAAGAAAAAAAGTTCGTCTGCAAAATAGACCCTGATTTGGAATTGTATGGCGGTGGGCGGGGCGAGTGTTCATATTGAAAGAAAGTTGCTATCATCAGCAAATTTGTTTCACAATAAGATAATATTTAATCAACCTAATTTACTGTTGCGAAATTATTATCAAGAAGTGGACTTAGGAAGAGGAGTGCTTCAGATTAAAGAAAACTATTTCTTATCGCGGATGATGATATGCAAATGAGATAAATATCAAGTTAACAGGTGGGCGTAATCATCTCGTGATTCTGTCTTGAGGTAGCTTACAAGGAGATTGGCAGACCTGGCCAGTTTTCTTTATAAATCCGTATATTTTTGACTATTGACTATTCTCTTGCCGTAAATAAGCAGATAAACAATCGAAATGGCTCAAGCTCCAGTTGTCAGTCCAGTAAGTAAGCGGTTTTGTATTTTATATTGTCCCCACGAATCCGTATAACGCAATTAACGGATGTTAACTTTATGCACTCTACTTTCATTTTCATTTGTATTTCACTGAAATACATGTTTTCTTTGAATTGGTAATGTTTGAACTTGTCTGATGCCGGCTTCTTTCATTAAAAATATTTGATATACATTATTTGAGCCTAACATATTGTATGTATAACAGGTCGATATAAAAACATAGGACTACAAAATAAGACATTGTTGCACAATATTACATACAGTCTTACACCCCTTTTACACTAGGCCCAGATAAAGTGGGCCAGGCCCCAATTTTACTAGTGTAAAACGAATGCGTGCCTGGCTGGCTCCGTTTAAAAATTCTTCTGTGCATGTGCAGGGTTTACAACTTCCGTATCGGCAGCCATTATAAATCTACAAATAAATAAAAAAAATAAACACTTAAGTCATTTTGACCTCAAAGGTAAAATACATATCTTCTGTTTTTATGAATGAAAATATATAATCACCATATAAAGCTAAAATCCTATATTTGATATTTAGTGTGTAAATTTATACACTTAGGATCTGATATAATACTGTCACCATTAAACCATCTACAAACCTTCGATGGTGACCTTGGGCAGTTTGTTTATTTTAAGTATCGGGTAGGTTAGGAAAAATAGGTGCTCAAATTAATGAAAACTATGGAATAAAAACCTAATATGAAAGTTTTAACTAGAGTTAATATTGTCAAATTGTTATAAGGCCGTATATCAAAACCAGTTTAAGCTGCTTTCTTAACAATAGGTACGTGCCTTTTTACTCACGCCTTTCAAAACAAATTCAGGTTAATCAAATAGTTAGATACAAAGATTTTCTATATAATTTACAATGTTCTGTATTTTATTCTTTATTTTGTTTTACTTCTAGCCCATTCCATACATTGGATCACTACATTTATTTGATCACCAAAAAATTATAGTCCAAGGCAAAGCTCATCATCACCATCAAAGGTATGTATTTTGAAATTGAAAACATCAAGCAGTACTGGTATAGGATTATTGGAAGAAAAGTACAAAATCTCGTTTAAAGAGATTGTAAAGAGATTCTCTGAACATTTGATGTTTATCAGGGACACTAATAGCATTGCACCTTTCCAATTTTCAATCAGAGGTTCCTGCAATTCCACCACAACTAAGCATTTTATTATTTCAGTGTCGCAAAGGGCCTTATATGATGTACGCAAATTTTGCAATTGTTACCTCATCCAATGCTTAGTTTTGGTAGAATTGCAGGAACCACAGACGTCTGATTGGAATTGTGCAAATCGATGCTGTCAGTGTCACAAAATGCCAGAGCTGGAGAGGGCAGAAATTTGATTGGTTAAAGCAGGGTTAGGTCAAAATGTTTTTTTGATGAATGTTTAAGAGGCCAGTCTTTAGACCCTAACTGAAGTGGTTACATTAAAAATAACATCGAATAAAAAAACATAACAAAAATTTAGTCTAATTGTAATTTTACTATCTTTGAAAATATTTGGATTTGTATTTTAGTCAGACTGGAGAACAAAGAACATATTTATTACATAAAAATTTATTCTTTTTTTCAGATTCTCGATCAATTTCACTTCACACCCTGACACAGATTTAAAGGACACAGCTCTGCATTTTAATCCCCGATTCGATGAGGGTTGTATAGTCAGAAATTCTAAACAACATGGAGGTTGGGGAAGTGAAGAGAGACATGCAGGTCTTCCACTTCAAAAGGGCACTCCTTTTGAAATTGTCTTTGATGTTCATCCTCACAACTACAAGGTAAAGTTTCTATCTTGTCTGTTACGGACCACTCTCATTTGGTTAACCCTCGCCAATGTTGCTTCGTTTCCATGAGTTGAGACTTGGCAATGAAAGACTGACATATTGTCATGTAAATTGGCAAGAGCAGATAACTCTATCTGAAAATTGATTTTGATTGACTAGAATAGCATAGAGCAGTTAAATTGCTGTGTAATTAAAAATTCGCAAGACAAAATAGTTTTAACAATACTTCATGAATAATTATTAGATGTTTTATTATATATGGTATATATAAATTATGCTATTATGGTATAAATATATAAATTATGCAGAAACCACTTAATAAATTAAGATTCACAAACTGGATGACATACTTTGTTATTGTAGCTGTAATAGGCTACTACCGAGAGACCTTGCATCATTTGAACGGAGACAGCTGGAACTATTTATTTTTGATATGGCATATCTGTTCTCCAGTGTGTATGTGACACAGCCCCGTCGTAAGGGTGGGGGCTGGGCAGAGATTGATTAATTTACAGTTTCTTTGTACAAAATCAAAAATATATAGATTTTGATACCTTTTTGGCAACTTTGCAAAATTGTCAGAAATAAGCTCTCTAGGCATTTAATTTTCAGATTTTCTGAATACAATATCTGAACCCCAGCACCAATTCATTCCTGGAGACAGGGCTGATGTGACAAGACAACCTCACGTAGAATTTCAAGAATCACAGATGTTGGACTTAAATTGGAAACAAACGGATGCTATCAGCGTCCCCTATACACATAAAAACCTTTTTACAATTATATTATCATTACAAAACTTCATTTGCTCATTTCAGATACATATTAATGGACGCCATTTCTGTGACTTCCATCATCGACTACCTAAACAATCTGTTAATTATTTAGTTATTTATGGTGATGTGGAAATCAGCTTTATTAAGTTTGAAGGTCAAAAAGTAAGTGGATTTATAATATCTTTATCATCTTGATCTATCAAAGGTTTATGAGCCTATTTGACATTTAACCCTTGATCCAGCAAGTCACTCAGCCCCTGCACTAAATTTTGTTAGTTATTAGTAGGGCAATTCTTGACCAAGTAGATTTTATTCCAAAAAACATTTGACAATAGCTCTGTCATACTCTGTATATAATATGATGACTTATTTAAGGGATTTTGCATCCAATGTATGAATTTTCCATTTGAAGTCATTTATTCCTGTAATTTCTGATTATGACATCACTTTGGCAAATATCACTTGAGCCCACTGACCACTAATGGGGTCCCAATATAGGTTACATAAATGCTCTTTTGATCTGTTTATAACCAATTGAATTATTATGTAGGATAGATTATAAGGGAGATTTGCTGGTTGTTGGATTTTATGGTGAATAGCCATGCTATTTCAAGATGCCATTTTCCTATGTTTTTCTGCTCAACTATAATATGCTACTTCTGCTTAAAAAATATTTCCTTTTATGATTCTGAGAATTTCTTTTTGAATTTGTAATTTACTTCTTCTATTTTGTATTTTGAAATGTGAATATGATAATATAATGAGTATAAATTTGATAAAAATAGAAATATGTGCTTAAAGAGTAAACTAGTCACATCCAATATTTAAACACACATCCAAAGCTTCTTATTCATGATAGCACTATCCCGTGCCACTCCTTTCCAGCAATCTAGTTACAAAAGACCAGGTGGTAGACCAGCTCCTCCACCATACTCTCAGGGCTTCCACCAGCCACCACCACCTGGAATGCATTCATCTCCTTTTCCCATGGGGATGCATCCACCACCTGCTGGCTTCAATCCAGGGGTAAGTTTATATTGGTATGATAATCAATCAGGGTTGATTTTTCAAATCTGATTAGCAATTTATCACACCAAATCTTAGTTTTGGCTGATGAAGTTTGATTTTGATACACATTTCTTAAAACTTTTTTAATTATATAAAAAGCTTGTATTAAAAGTAAAAATATAAAATTTAATTTGATTGTGATAAATTTTCATTTTGGCTAATCATTGGAAATATTGGAACGCAAAAAGGGTAATTTTGAATCGCAAACTGCGAGAGGATACTGCTGAAATTGAATCCTGATGTAAATAGGTAAGAAAAGCTTCCCTCTCATGCTTATCCTGATGCTTTTACTTGACAGAGTTGTGGCTTTTATTGCTTTCATATATATTCAATGTATAATTTGGTTGAAGTAAATGGACAGTGATAGTACTGTATGCTCTACTCCAGGAGAAATACCACTCATGTGACACCAAACCTACATTACAGGCTGCATTCTAATATTTTATTTTACTATTTGAACAGTAAATTTGAAATTTCAAGGCAATTGATAATGGTAACAAAACTTATGATTGAAAAATCTTAGTTGCTCGTCTTCATTGCAATTTGATGTGCTGGATGATTCTTCATATCTCCAATATATATGTACGATTCAACGTAGGTGATGATATTAATAATTGTAATTTTTTCAGGGTTATGCTCCAGCACCATCTTATCCTGGATCACAACCACTTTTCAATCCTGTAAGTTTATATTTTTGAATTGATTATTATTTAGTGTAGTTCAGGTCATTTAATATTCTTTTGGAGAAATCTGGGATGTAATAAGCAAAAAGGAAGGAAAAACGATGGCTAATTGTCACCACAAGCCATGGTATAAATTCTATATTATATACAAATCTGAACAAATTCTAGCTTATGTACAAATCTGAAAATGTGTCAAGTTCTAGGTCATGGACAATGTACAAATCTGAACAAAATGTTACAAATTCTAAATTATGTACAATTTACAAATCTGAACAAAATCTAGGTTACGTACAAATCTGAAGATGTGACAAATTCTACGTTATGTACAATGTATAAATCTGAAAAAATTGTAGCTTATGTACAAATCGGAAAATGTAAGAAATTCAAGGTTATGTACAATGTACAAATCTGAACATAACCTAGGTTATGTACAAATCAAAAAATTCTATGCTATATGCCAATCATAATTGTCAAGATACAAATTCAATTAATTACTTAATTGATCTCAGCCTACTTCTGAATTCTTTAATTTTGAAAGTCTACAGGCAATATGAAGATAACCAGTAGCCATACAAGTGTTCACACATCTGGTACATCATGTGAATCTCACTCTCATAGTTCAGCTATTGGAGCCTTACATTTACCATCCCGGCTAGCTTCAGCTGTTGTAAGAGATGTCAAAACAATATTTGGGGGTATTGGTTCAGGATTAACTCTGTCATCCAGAAGTAGTAGCTTCAGTAAAACTCTTGGTCCACAGGTTCAAATATATTCATTTACCCCTTCTTTGTCCACTTGAAATTTTAACACACAGAATGCCTGTAAATGCTGTAAATAAAAGCTTTAAGTGTCCTCAATACTAAATAAACTCAGATGAATCCTTTTTATTCACTTTCTCTTAAATAGGCATTCTTTAGAAAATGTAGGAGACATATTGGTATACAATTAAGCTTTTATTTTACTCAAATCCGTACGTTAGTTTCCTTGCAGCTTGCAAAAAGCATAACGAACTTTAAAAGGTTTTAAAACATTTTGGCGTTAAAAATAACGGCTGCATTTTTTTAGTTTAAACTTTCAGATATGTTATGGGATACCTTTCCATAGATTTTGGTTTATAGGTTTTCACAAATTTGAGCAAAAAATTTTTTTCGACCTACAAAAAAATGTCCCTTTGAGCATCTTAAGATGAAGCGAAGCTGACGTGAGAATTAATGGTGAAAAATTTCAGATTGCATCCTTCTGCCAGGATTTCACAATCCCACTATGTCAATATATCAACCTTCCAACCTCCAAACCTCTCATCTGATAAAGCTTATTCCCAGCATCACTTCTCATACAAGTAATATGACATTTAGTTCTTCTGTAATCAATGACTTAATGTTTCAGCAATTACAAAAATAAAATCACTTGCACAATTTCTGAACACAGGTTCATATTTCGCAAAACTCACATACTCACTTTGAGTTTTAGTTATATAATAGATTTATTGCAAATATTATGCCATGTATATGCAGCTCAGTAAAAACCTAATTTAATGTATATTAGATGTGTGAACACTTGTAAGAGCTTGTAAAGGTGTGAAATTGACTAGGTATCTAGTGGTGTAGGGTGCAGTATTAATAATAAGTAGAAATAGTAGAAACCTATACATAAGGTACTAATTTTGCCAGGAGTTCAATGCGATTTGTTCCTACCTCTTTCAGGCTGTACCATTAACAACAGGTATTCCTGGACAATTATCTCCTGGTAGAATGATCCATGTTAGTGGTGTACCATATTCTAATCCCTCTAGGTAAGTCAGCAGTGTCCTCACTCATAGTTTGTGGATCATGAGACGTGGCATTGATTTTTTCCTGATTTGAGCATTGAAATCATGGTAAAGTGTGATTGTATTACAAAATAGTAGTCAGATCATGGATGACAAGTGTATAAACCCACAGAAAATAAAACAGTTTTTTAATCTGATTGTTCCCCTAAGAGATCTCCTCATAATCATTTTTGTAGAACTGTTTGTCCACTCAACAACCCATCCAACAAAACATCCAGGGGGTGCTAGTTCTGCATGTTAAGGATTCATGGAATCAACTGGAAGTTGAATAAAGTATGAAACTGAGTTCAGAATGCCTCCAACTTGTACCGAAAAAAAGTAGACAGAAAACAATAGTTGTGTTCAATAGTTGGAATAGAAGGCTTAATTTTGAATGTAGACATATCCAGTTTTCTTCTTTTCGATTGAGGCCAGAATTGGGCTTGGAGGAGATCTATTGTTTTGTGACATTGTTATATGCAATCTATCCAATAATGAATCAGTCTGTTTATTTCAGAATGACCTTTAATCTGATGTGTGGTTCTGACAAAGCTCTGCATTTTGATGTTAGATTTAATTATGGAGACTCCCGTAATGTGTGTGTTCGAACCCATTGTCAAAATGGTAATTATGGCCCAGAAGAGCGACAGCACTCTTTTTTCCCTTTCATGCCCAATGCTAGTTTTGATCTGCTGATTTTGGTGGAACCATCTTGCTACAAGGTCAGTAAAAGAGGGTTGTTTGATATAAGGACTCTCAACTGAAAGAGATAAAGTGGTGTAATTATTGGATTTGAGAAAAATATGGTATAACTTCTTTAATATAGTGGTCCAACTATTTTACTTTATTTTTTTTTCTAATTTGAGCTATTGATAGCACTATTTAGAATTATAATCTGACACATAGTTCCTCTGAAATTCAAGAAAAAATTTAATATTAACTGCATGGTTATAACTGTCTAAAAATAATAGTTTAAATTTTCGCAGTTTTCTATTATGTCAGGGAATCTGATGTCAGACTTTAATTCTGCAAAGTGATACAGATAGCTGAAATTGACAATGATTTCCCTCTAGAGTCTTAATAATAACACTGAATTTTATTTTCCTATGTCTATTTTCTATTTCAGATTGCTGTTAATAATCAACACTTCATTGAATTTCACCACAGAATTCCTTATCAGAATGTTACAACATTGAATATTGAGGGAGATGTTCGTCTGACACAAGTTAGATTTCAGTAAATATGTCAAAAGTAAAGGGCATTCAACCTTCAAGCATTGTTTCAACAGCTTGTAACACTTTTCGATATGTCAACCTTATTGTCAAAAATAAAATTATATATCTTTAAGATTGTGCAAATATTGATGTAAGAGTTTTGTTTATATATATTATGCTTAACTTCAGATTAAAAATCGACCAACAATTTGACAAAAATATATTGAATTAGTTTTTCAATGGTTTTCAAAACACCATGTACACCAAAAAATTAATTTCGAACTCTTTTAAATGATGATGCTTATTCTAGAAGTGTGATTGGTCGATGATTTAAATTCCATATAATAACCAATCAAATTTCGAGGATTCATTTTGATAAAACTCTAGTTTATTTATTAGGGGTGCACCCTGATAATCAAAGTATGTAATCAAAATACATGTATATAATTATATTTTTATGAGTGAAATAAGTTTGATTGCAGTTGTTAATAACTGCTTAATATGTCTTATAGACCTTGATTCTTGAAATCTTAACTTATATGATATCTAGATTTTAGGGAATAATATAACATTATTGGTGATGCCAAAATCATTTTAAGTCAAGGTTTTGTGAATAAGACCCAAATTTGTAGCTGGACATAATTGTTATTATTATTATAGATATTGTTGGTTAAAGAATATTTGTTATAAGTATATAAAAGCAAAAAATTCTCACTGTAAAAATAGTATTCAATACATTGTAGAGCAATATAGAAATACCACTGTTAAAATAGTGCTAATTACAACAATTGTAGAGTCCTATAGAAATACAACTGTTAAAATAGTACTCAATACATCAATTGTAGAGCGAAATACCATTGTTAAAATAGGACTCAATACAACAATTGTACAGCAATAGAGAAATATATTTTTTTAGGAAAGTATCTATTATTTGTTCAGTAAGCAGTATGATCAAAATGTACTATTATTGTGAAAATTTACATGTTAGTAACTATTAATAATGAATTTATTAACATTTTTTTTTCTAAATGTTGTCTTCCTCAATTCATAAAAATCTATATTGTGAACATTTTCATATTGAACGCAGGACTTGTTATATATTTTAATGGCAAAATTTTTGGTAAGAAATTACTCTCCCTATAGCAACCTCATTTTGGATAATTTGATGGTCAATGCTGTGATAAAATGCTGCATGGGCTTGAAAAACTCGCCAAAAAAATATAACTTACTTTGTTTAATTATCTGTTTTCTTTTAATTAGTTGTTGGATATGTAAATTTTATAATTCGAATATAGTGCTAGTTTTTCTGCTTAAAGTTATTTACTAATAATATTTACTTACATTAAGAAAAAGTATTTTTTTGTTAGATATAAACATAATCATTAGAATGGTATTTCTCCTTATTTTCAAATCAAAATTTTCTCAATATGTTCCTTAAGATGTGAACTCCCTCTTCCATTTGATATGATATAATGTGAAAAAGTCAGAAAGCTGTGAACACCATCGAGCACTACCTTATACATTTGGGGGAAGATCTGGTGTGATCGTCTCAGGGTCAGGTACCGAAAAAATGATCGACTTATTTTTTATCGACCCAGTCTTCTTTATTTTTTTACCCGATTGATATCAGCAAGCCATTGATTTGCAAGTTGAAAATAGACATTGGTGATCTCAGAAGAGTTAGTTAGGTAATTAGGCCCTACAACAACAGTAGATACTTGAGGTGCAGAATAAACAGCAATTTCTAACATGGACTTTTTACCATAATCTACACCCAATTTTCCATGAGCAGCAACAAGTATCTAGATCCGACCACCCATAAAAGACAGAAAAATAAAAATCCACGAATGGACATCGTTATAGCTGCATCTTCTTTATCGGTGATGAGCTGTAAGAGATGATGGTTAAAAAAGTTAATCAACAACTCTTGGTTTCAGATCAACAAAAAACAGCTTTTGAAACGTGCTTACCAGCTCATGTTTCACTAAAGAATGTGTGTAAGGAATCTCCATCTATCCCAATACATTTGTCATGGGGCATCTGACCATAAGCTTGAATTCCGTCTTCCAAGCACTACAACCCCCATCAGACCACCGTGAACCATCAAAACTGTGACTGAGAATGCGACACCTTTCAAAGACCAGGAGCATTATCTGGAGATGTCAAACCTTGTCATCAAATTGATCAATTGTTTAACTTTTTCATGAAACGAAATGAAAATGATAACCTCGTTCATTCATTCAGTAAGTCATTCATTCAATTATCCATTCACTGTTTGCTTATTTCACAAATATTAAAAAAATCAGATGTTTTAGACACCCGTCAATCAAGATTTGATGTGTATTATTCAACTGTAATCTTGTACCTTTGTACGTGTTAAATGTCGTGATAAAGGAGTTAGTTTTTAATGGCAGCGTGACCAGGGTCTATCCAAGAGGACAAACTTCTCGGGTGATTTTCTAAAGTGAATGTGTAAAAACGTAAACCCATAATTAATCTCATATCAAATGACAGGGACTTCAATCTCAATCGGAGTATAAATTTCAAATTTTACAGTGAAATCATTTTCCTCAACCGGCTCGCTTCCTGTATCAAATACACACCGATTAAAGTTAATACTCAATAGGGAAATTTGAGAAATATACCGGATTTTGATACGATGAGTTCTTAATTAGACTTAATTGCATGGTTGATATGAGCTCACTTCGCTGCTTCAATTATCACATGTCTAATTGTTACATCGTCTACTACAAAATATATTTGTCTAGAAAAACATCATCGAGTACTATCTTCTCTTAAGGTTACCTCACACCATAGCGATTACCATTTGCGTATAGTTGCGAATAATGAAAGTGGAAATGAGCACCGAACGCCACTCACAACTTAGCTGCATGCAGTGGTGTTGCCAGCCTCCCGAGACTTGAGGTACAAATACGTGACAACCGTCCATGATGAGATTCAAAATGTGCCTGCTTTGTGGATTGCTTGGTCAAAAGCCTCCAACCGAGCATCTATCATCGACAATGGAAATATTGCCTTGACAAAGGGACATTTCACTCCATTAGTCCAAAAAGCTTAACTTTTCGTGTAAATTCACTTGAATCAACCTACAATTAACTTTTCTAAAATCCCGAAGCGTGTGACGGAGAAACAATTTGGTTAAAAAATGGCAAATGATGAATTAAAACCTCGAGTCAAGCAAACCACACTTAATATGCAGGAAACGACAATTTTAAGAAATATCACCCATTCGCTAGTAAAATTATTTTCAATAGAAATAAATATAGCTTCATGCATCAAATCATGACTAAAAGACAGCCAACACAGTAGGTTAACCCGTAAAATAATTCTTATAGAATTACAATAAGTAGATTTATTGTGGTCTGAAAGACAATGCTAAAATTCGACGAAAATAACCGTTATTAATTGCAGTTGTCTCCCTTTAAGTGTTGTGCGTTCCCTCTTTTCTCTTAATAGATGTACGCTGCTTCTGAGATTTGCCAATGGGCCAACGAAAAGTAACGGAGTAATATTTTTAATATTTGTATCATTTCTGAAAGTCTTGACCTGAAAGGTTATAGGGCATGCGTAATAGTTAAAGCGGCAATAGGTAATGGAAAAGGGAACGTGGAATATTGGGTGAAACACTATTTGTCATGACAAATCATAATTTTTAGATGAAGTTTTCTACGTGTAGTGTGGCAACAGAAAAAAGCAGCTTCTATAAGGTTACCGTTCCATGTTCATTTCCGCTTTAATATGGCTTATCGTCTTCCATTCGGCAGTTTCCGTAAAGCTGAATATATTGCAAAGTGTTAGCAGAACTTTCAAGGTAGGCCGTTTGACCAGCTAGCTCCATGTATATTATTCTTAAGTGACGATTGACGATAACTAATTACTGGTTCATATAGTAACTCGACTTAGCAAAGGAAAGATATCGTTGATGAATTACCAATAATTACATAGGGGCCATAGTTCATAAATAATTCATTTTGATACTCCCTATTTTTTATTATTTCAAAGTTCAACACGGGTATCATTATCGCCTCCGTTCATCTCCTTATACAGTATCAAAGATTGTAGGCTGTAGTCCTGTGTGGAAAAATAACAAGGTCTTTTAGTAAATAAATCAAATTTCAGAAGCGCATCACCTTTTTAAAAAATTGATTGCTTATGCAATACATTTTTATTAGTAAAATTATGGTGGACAATTGACCTTTCAGAATTCATGGAATAAGAACCAAACCTCAGAGCTACTTGTCTATGAATTAATCCTGGACGTAGCTCCTTTAAGCCTAAGATATAAATTCTCCAAGTTGTAACATGAGAAGCTATTCCAACCGAGAATATCATTAAACTGTCAACAATTATACGGGTATCCTGACCGCCCTATTTTATGCACGGAGTCACTGAAGGTACTCATTACCTTACCCACGTCATGCAAATTGAAACAGACACGACGCTAAAATCAATAGGCTAAGGGACATGACGTCGCCTTGTGAAAACCCCTTTTGCCTTTTGGTGATAAATTGGTAAATTACAGCGCTCAAGGTAAAAGTCACCGATCTTTTGTGTGATAATTATTATTTCTAACTGACAAATTATGGATGAGATGGTAATTCTTGATAGGGGGTAACATGAAAAAGAAAAAATGAAGATATCCCTAAAGATGATATGAATAATTTATGATTTTTCAACAAATACGTTTATTTAGCCCACTTTTCTTGTAAGAAATATTTTTATAGAAATTTTGAAACTCACTTTCGTCCATAGATAATATGACATTTTGTCAGAATGATATTTCCATGTTTGCATGTTTATCTAGGCAACATAATTCTGCAATTCGCAATATGACATGCAAGACAGGGAACGAGTAATATCAACCTCAGAACACATAACCACAACAACAATGCTTGCATAGCAGCCAGTGGGCGTATATTTAAAACAGTTATTTGTCAGCCCTTTATTTATTATTGCTCATATACTGTATTGACTGCTTTACGAAGTGTAGTTCAAAATTATTTAG